TTCTTCTGAGTGGTCGACTCCTTTGAGTTTTCCAACTTCTGTTCTTTGTCTTTGTCTTTCTCTAGTCCCTCTTTCATGTCCTCTCCTTCATATGACAAGATTACACGGGCAGAATGTGGTATTGGTCCAGATTTTTATGGCCGATGATGAAGAGTGAGTGGGGTTTCTGCCTTGAGAATACGTAAGATCATCTTCACAGACCAGAGGAGGCAGAACTGATGTGACTCGGCAGGCTTCAAAGGTCAAAACAGTTTGAAGAACATCAAACCGGCCACTTTGGTAGTTTGGTTATCTCACAAAGACAGCAGTAACTGCTCTTCTTGGCTCTGGCTTCATTTAGTTGTTGTTCTTCTTAATCCTGAGGATTTATTCTGCTTTTCCTCCATCAATTTTAACAGATCGTTACCACTTATTCCCTAATGGGGTCGGGGGGGGCGGAGCCTATCTCAGTAGCCAATGGGGAGAGGCGGGGTCACCCTGGATGGTCCCCAGTCCATCACAGGGACACACAGAGACACGCAAGGACCAACAGCCACACACACTCACACTAAGGGCAGTTTGGAGTCCAACAACCTAACATGCAGGTTTTTGGACGGTGGGAGGAAGCCGGAGAACCCGGAGAGAACCCACAGACACAGGAGAACATGCAGAACCACCCAGAAAGGTCCTGGTTCCCCCGGGACTCCAACCCAGAACCCTCTGGTCCTGGTTCCCCCGGGACTCCAACCCAGAACCCTCTGGCAGAAAGGTTCTGTTTCCCCCGATTTTCCTGATAGCCTTAATTGTTACATCACATTCCACTTACAAAAAAAAGTTTGGAAAATTGTATGTTGAAATTTCCTAAACCAATATTTATTTAAAAAAACAAAAAACATAAAGCATTTACAAGCTCATCGTCAAAAAGGGCCACTGTGCAGCCTCCCCTCTTCTTTTTACAACAGTCCGTGAACATCTGGGAGCAAAAGGGAGCAGCTGCCCAACGTTCCTGGCATTGAGCACTAAATAATCTAAAAAGGTGGAAGATCTGGGTTGCAGGAAAGCCGCCCGACACCTGGACTCTTCTGCTCCAAAGTACCTCATCGAGTTTGTGGCTCAGCATAAAGCTACACGGGGGAAAAACAAACCAAAAAACATCTATAAGTGCTACGATCCGTCCATACTTTTCAACCTTGTTTGAGCCTTTCCAGATGTTTAAGGGACCAGTTCCAGAGACAGCAGAGCTCCATTTTGATCTGAATATTGGCAAAAAGGCAAATGGTCCCAGTTCAGAGCGTTTAACCAGCATTTGTAGATAGTACACTGAACACTGTTCACAGACAGTGATTTCTGGAAATGTTCCGAGCCAAAGCAATTATTTCCACAAGAGACTCATATCTGTTTTTTAATGTTGTGCCGCCTGAGGGCCTGAAAGTCCCAGCAAATCCAATACTGATTTAAAGCTGTGTGCACAGAGACGTCTCCAAGTACTCTGGACCTTTTGATGTCATTAAATGGATATCATCGAATATTGAAAGTCCATCATTTCAGAGATTTGTAAACATTATTCTGAACTTGAAGCCATAATGTCTTATCGGATTTAAAGATATTCTCAGTTTCTATTTCTGAGAGACTTTTCCTTTCTAAGGTGACCCAAATACCCTTATAAGCTACTACTCTTTTACACCTTTGTTGCCTCTTTGTTCATCTTGAATTAATTCAAGATTAACTAATATTTTTAAATACACAGAAAAAGTTTGACCGAAATCTATTTGAATTGATACCATCACAGTGACCCATTTTTGTGTGGTGCAAATTTTGGTGGTACATCAAAATGTATTACAATATATATACATTTTGACACAAAACTACAAAAAAGCATGAAAAAGGAAAAGGGGGGAAAGTTAAAAGAAATTCTAACTCTCTCAGCTTTATTTAACAGATTGTAACATTTCTAAAAACAAAAGAAAACCTTAGAATCCTTCATCTTCTGTCCTCAGGCTACAATCAGAAACACCCCAGCACTGAGCTAAAATAGGTTCCTGTGCCTCAGGCATCCTCACTTCCTTCTTAGAAAATGGGCAAATATAGCTCTTCATACTTATACACAAAGTATAGGGGGCTGTCCTACCAGACACAAACTTATATTTAGTCAAATCTTGATCAATCACAAGCCAATTAGATGAAAGACCAAACTTATTGGTGAATTAGCCATTCACCAATAAGAAGGAAGTGCTTGTTACAGCTCATTTAGATGTAAATGAGCTGTTAGATGTAACTTTAAATAGGATTGTATGCGGTCAAATTTAAGTTATGGGGACTCCAACCCTGAGTTATTTAAGATTTTTTCATAAAAATGTGCCCATTTAAAACTATAATACTATAACAATAATAATCATATTCTGATATTTTATTGTATTAATATGACAGAATTTGTATAAAAAGGAATAAACTCCCATAATTTTCATGGTATTTGGCATTTTCTTGTTCAACTATTTCAATTTTTTTTTTACCTAAGCTGTATCATGGTCCATTGGCATTTTTTTCTCCTGAAACTTTTATATTAATATGATGGAATTTGGACAAAAGGGAATACACTCCCCTAATTTTGATGGTATTTGGCATTTTCCTCTTTAACTATTTCTTCTTTTTTTTTTAACTTAAACTGTAACATGGTCCATGGGCATTTTTTTAGGTCCAGTAAATCAGATTAAATGTTTTTCTTTTAAACTGTCATTTTCCCTCCACACTACCTTTCCCCTCAGCCCACCTGCTCTCATTCTCCACCTCTTCCCGATGCCTAAGGGATCTCATTAGGAGTGTCCATCACCTCCTAACGCCACCAAACGTCCATCCATCCATTTTCTGAACCGTTTATTCCCTAATGGGGTCGGGGGGGGCACCACCACCAAACATTTACGAGCTAATCTTCATATAAATATATATCTATCTTTTACTTAAGTTAGTCCTGACCTTAAGGCTGGAACTTCATTACCTTAAATCTTACAAAGATACACATAATACTGACAGTGAAAAAGGTAAAATGATTAAGCCTATAAAGCCAAATGTATCATATTTGATACGGTTTCTGAAGTCTTTTGGATCTGAGACTTTCTGCATCATTCAGTGGTAAAAGCTTTGCTCAAACCCCTGTTGTACACATTCAGATATACCTGATAACAGCCAGTAGAAGACTACACCAAAATATATTTTTGACTTATTGCACGCTAATTTGATCAAAATAATTTCTGTTTTCTTTCTTCATATGTTGTTGAGGGGCCAAAGAAAGACTTCAGACTAACAAAATCCAATATTCTTCCTATTTTTCAGATATTACTATATTACTATATTTTCAGATATACCTGATAACAGCCAGTAGAAGACTACACGAAAATACATTTTTTCCTTATTGCACGTTAATTTGATCAAAATAATTTCTGTTTTTTTCTTCATATGTTGTTGAGGGGCCAAAGAAAGACTTCAGACTAAAAAAAATCAAATATTCTTCCTATTTTTCTTGGATCGGGCTTTAAAGGGTTAAATACTGTAAGCCATGGCTAGATGAAAAGCAGAAATCAGTGTTAGTAACTAGAAAAAGATGTAAGCCATTTGTGGGGTTAGATGTAGCTTCTTTCACATTGTTTAATGACCTTTTTGCAACCTTTTTCTGCACCAGCTCACAAAGCAAACATTTTGGGGCTGAACGCCCTGCCATATTCTGACAATTTGTTATTTGTTCTGTGCCTCTGTGGAGGGAATAGAGTAGAAAACTCTTCAGTGGGATTCAGCGAGCAGCAGAACATTGCTGGTTATCTGAATAATGCAAATGGTGACGGTGTTCGGCTTCATGCCTCAGTCATAATGAACCGAGATTTAAAAAATACAGTTGAATAAGATAAGCTGGGAAGTGTTTATGCCTCTTGGTAAATTGGGATGACCGACCGCTGACCAGATACTGTTTTTACTGACATTTCACTGGTGTGATAGGAACCCCATTTAGACCAGTCAGATATAATGAGGTTCAATGGTTCAAAGGATTAATGCACAGCAGGATGTTTTTGACTGGTTTCCTGGAAATCGGTTGATTTTTATTCCACTCTTACCTAAAATAACCCGAACTAAGAAATGAATAGGCATTTAATAGAGTGGGGACATTGCTTCTCTTAGTCTTTATACTCACTTTGGTTTTGTTCTAGTATTCACTCACAATCTGAAATATATCAGTGCCCTAAAAGTTATCTCAAGTCAAGGATTTGTTCAAATAAGACTTTTTTCTCTGATGTTCCCAGTTGAGGAATGAAAATCTGAGGAGGAAACTTGTTTTTTTTTATAGATGACTCATCTAACATCATTAAACATTAATTCAACAAACTCAAAGGACATTTTGATGTGATTCTGCATCAAAATTGGAAGAGGCAGGGGCCCAGTTTTCCCTCAGTTCTCTATCAAAGTTATTTGTTTCATGACTAGAGCGGACTGGATGGTTCGGGGGTTTGATGGTGATGGAAGTGTTGGCTTTCCGGAAAAACATCATGTCCCAAGAAACAATGAGATTGTGAGTGAATCTGTTTCTCTCCTTTTTTCTGTGCGCTCTCAGATTGCTTCTCATGCAAAGCCGAGGACCGGCTGTTCAGGAAGCTGTTCAGGAGATATAACCAGTTCATCCGACCGGTGGAGAACGTCTCCGACCC